ATCCTTAGAGCCACAGCAGCCACGAAGGGTGTGTGGTAAGGACGTGGTCTTGTAGGGGACTAACCACATTAATGTCACAAAAGCCTTTCACAAGGCATAAAAATAAGGATGCCTCATAGCAGGGCAGCATAGGGCTGTGCTGCAGAAAAAAGGATTTTAAACAATTAATATTATTTGACTGCATTTCCAGCAGATCCTGCCAGTTGTGCCATCTAGCATGTCAGTGACTGCACAACACCACAGCCCTGGGACCTGGGTTTTCCTTTTCCTATGCTGAATTTTGACATAAAGTAAAAAGAAATCGAAAGTAAACCTCACTATGAACATCCACCTCTTTTTCTTTTTTTTTCTTTTTTTTTTTTTTTTTTTAAGCTGAGCTCAGACATCTGATGTGAAAGGTAACAAGCTGCTAAGTTTCATTAAATGGGTCAAGCAGAAGGAATCTCCCAATCTTGCCATTGAAGGAGAGGCTCAAGAGAGAGATGATGCCCCAGCATTAGGGAAATTTCTGCCCAGGACCAGGTGCCCAGGCTGTGGGACAGCACCATGTGACAAGCCAGGCCACCCTGGCAGAGAACTACCAACAGGCAGGCAAGAGAAGACAGGAGAGGACTCAGCCAAAACACTCCTTCTCAGCCTGCCTTTGTTGAGGCTTCTTTGGGGCTTCTTACAAACTGCCCCAGGTCAAAAGACACACGTTTCCAGGACAGCAGGTCTTTTCTGAAATTTCCTGCATGCCCAAGCTATATGCAAGCCCTGCCTGGATGTCATCTGGGCTATGCAATGTCACAGCGCTGTGCTCGCCCTATAAATCAGTTGTATTATTTTCCAAAGTTTGTGAAAATCTGTTGCAAGACAGAGTTTTCTCAGAGCAAACCTAGAAATCTGCATTCCTTGCTCTGGCTACTTGGAAAACACAAATGCATTTGGTCTTCCTTCTCTGAGGCTGAATATTCAAAAAAAAAAAAAAAAAAAAAAGAATCTGAGCTGGCAATATGCTTTCCTGCAGAACCACAGCCAGACATGCTCTAAGCCCTGTTGTGTAAGGGCTGTGTCCACCTCTGGGAAGAGATGCCAGAAGTGATGTGGGGGCAGTGACAGCCAAACAGCAAATGTCTTCATACAGCTCCCCCCTTCCCCTCTTTGCTCCGCAGGAGGTAAAGAGATTGGTAACACTAATATAGGTAGCAAAAACAAAGCTGAAACAAAGCCTGTGTTGCAGAAAGCAATGTGATGTTTCTGGCCTTGCAGAACAGCGAGCGAGGCTGCTTAGTGGTTAACAACACAAGAATAGCTCCACTCTTCCAAACTGTGACAGTCAGCTCCAGTAAAATGGAGGTGGGAAGTCACTGCCCATATTTGTTATTGCCACTGGATGGCAACAGACGTTAGGCAGAGATGTTGAGTTATCACTGCGCAAACCACACATGCACTTGCTGTGCTCCACCTTGTTATTTAGGGGAGCGGCTGTGATTCCAGCACACCCCACAGACACACTGGAAAGGTCTCTGAGGGATTAAGCCACGGGTTGGCAGCAACACAATCAGCAAGACTGTTATGGGGTCAGGTTGAACGCTGGGCTTTCCATTTGCACAGCTTCTCCATGTATTTCCCAGAGTGTGCACTCAAAATAATTTTTTCTCTTGCCAGACCAGGGCAAACTGTTCTGATGAGCCATGCAAAGTATATTTCATGCCACAGATATGAGTAAAAAACTCTTTGGCGGAATTACAGTATCACTCTGTGAAACAGTTAACACTTACATGTGAAACTGATGGCTATTTTTAAATTACATATACCTGGCTATGAGCTGGCCAAGGGCCACAGAAAGATCTACAGCTGGGTGTCAAAAACACAGCCAGGCTTGTTGAACACCTTCATGTGATCCATCAGTTTGCTCTGAATCTCCAGAAATGCTGGGCTAGCATCGACCTGAACGCAGGTGGAACTTGCCATGTCCATAAGGGCATCAGTTGCCACCCGGGCTCTGTGAACATCGCTAAAACCATTCTGTCTTAATAAGGATGTGTGATGGTAGCATAGCACTGCTGAGGTGACATGGAACGAGGAGGTAACAGGAAACAATGAAGGTTGTTTTTTTTTTTTTTTCTATCTTTTAACAAGTGCATAGTCACATCTTGTTAGTATTCTCTTAATGATAGATAACTACAATTTAGATCTTTCTCTTAATTAATGAATGATGACACTGTTCTTGCTTCGGGTGACATCGTTCTGCTGCATCTCTGCTGTGCAGCACTGCCACATCTCCCTCTATTTTTGTCACTTTGGCTGAGTGTGGCTCATGCCAAATGCCTGCCAGGTGCATCTGAGTTAGTGTATGACACATACATGATGCCATGATGTAAAGCTCTGCCAAGACCTCAAGCTGATGCTATGAAGGCCGTCACTGTCCCCTTGGATGTGGTCTGCCACATCATTTCCCTGCCAGCCGATGCAGCTCCAGGCTGAGGGAGCCTGGGAGGACCCATGGAGGATGCTCTGGTTCCACCAAGGCAGGTAAGACATCCCCCAGTTTGATAACTGAAAACCGCTGAACGGTTTCATGTGAATTCTCCAAGTGAGGGACAAGCTCTCCTTTCCCAGGTCAAAAGGAGAGCCCCATACTCTGCCTTCAACATAAAAATTTAACTAGCTCCCAGACACAGTGACCCATGTCCTGGAAGGTAGCGTACACTGGACCCCACTATCATCCATATTTTCTTATCTTGAGCCCACCTCCCCATACCTTCAAATCAGCTTTAACAAGTTACAGGTTTTAGCAATAATCTTCTTGAGAGGCTCTATATTTTTGTTTTCCTTGCCTTAGGCACCAGAGTGTCTCCAGGGTGAAAAGCACATGCTGAAATAGTTCTCCACGTACCACCAAACAGTAATTAGCTGTCTTGTGTCTGTTCTGGAGGAAACGTTCCTGCCACTGCTGTCCTACAGGGATACTGATAGGAAACACGAACACACTGCAACACAGGGAGAAAGTCTGCTCACGCACACAGGGATTTTCTCTGACTGTAATATGAGAACAAGCCTCTGCTGGCATCAGTTTGGGCAACAACAGAAATTAAATGAGACACAAAAGCTAGGCCAAAAAAATCTGAACACGCTCAAGGGGGACTGAAAATTTTAAGGGGGTCTAATATGTCAAAATGGAGGGACAGGAAACTAGCTGCCCGTGTGATATTCCCCAAACTACTTTCTCCAAATCCAAGACCCAATTGTTAGTCATCCGCCCAGAACAACACACAGAACACAACATGGTTGCAGAGACCCAAAGCCGGACACTGCAGGAAGGGTGTGTAAGGTAAATTCCATCAGCCCTGCAGCTTCCAGGGTTTGGGCAGAGCCTGGGCAAGTCCTACAAAAGGGGAATTTGCAAATGGGGAGAGAAATGGTTGTAGATCATCCTCCCCATGAGGAAACTAATTGATGCACAGCGTGACATTGCAAGCTCTGAGTATCTGGCAGGAAAACATACTTACAAGCAATAATCATAGGCTTTTTATTCAGCCTAATAATGTCATTAGTTCATTACCACTAAGAATATCAGCATTAACATATTTTATTGCACTGCAAGATTTTGCAGTCCTCAGCACATCGTGCAAGCTCAGTTTTTTCTTGCACGCTTGGGTTCACAGGGCTAGATAAATCAGTTGTAAAAGCGTGCCACTTAAACGTGTCTGCCACATCTCCAGGCCATCATGTGGGCAAACGACTGCACAAATGTGGACAGAAGGAAAAGCAGTTCTCTAAGCAGCAGGGGTGGGATTCACCCCCCCACACACCCTCCATCTCTATCCAGCTGTTTTCAAGGAAGCAGCATCTCTCTGAATTGCAAAACCCCATCTGACAGAAGAGCTGTGGGCAGCCGCAGGCCGCCAGCCCAGCCGGGGGAGATGGCAGAGGGGGGAGGAGGGCAGGCGTGGGGCAGCCCCCGTGTCCCTCCCCCCCATGCCAGCCTAGAAAGCCAGAGGCACACAAAGGTCCTGGCATCTTGCAAAGAATAAAATGCCTTTTTCTCTTGTGCGCGTTGTGAACTAAGCCAGTTCCAGGCTGCAGGGACCCCTGGCAGTGGCAGTGTGCAGTGACCGTCTGCTACCTCAGGGTTTAGCTCAGGCTAGAAGCTGGTGGTGGCTCTAGAGGCTTGATGGGTCCAGTCAGACCCCAGCGCCTGGCACAGCAAGCCCAGCCCGGGCTCTACACGGGCTTTGAGCGGATCCTGTGGACGGAAAAGAGCCCTTGAGCTCACCTGAACACCTGTGAGCATCCTGCCCTTCGCCGTCCCAGAGCTGGATTAGGGAAGGGGCTTTCAGAGGGACACGCAGGATGCCCCCAAGGCACACGGAGCTGGGATGAGCACCCCCAAGCCACTCGCCTCCTTCCATCAGCCTGGAAGCATACGCAAGCCCCTCATTATTCAGGATGGAGGGTGCCAGCCACCATGAGAGAGATTCATTTAAGCTACACCAACTTCAGAAACATCCAGACCCACCAAACCCAACCCCTCTAGTCCTCCAAATCATTCTTTTTTCTACAATGTATCCTCAAAAACATTACCCTGACATTTCTGGGACGGGCAGGACCACCTCCCTGATTGCACCCCTTCCCTGGTACAAGGCAGGTACTATTTCAAAGGAAAAATGATCATTTGTTGCTCTTTGTCCCCCACATGCCTGATGTACAAATCACCCTTATGTTACTGGGGTTCCCGCTTGATCCAGTATCTATATGCTTAAGCCTAAAAATTATTGTTGCTGGTATTATTTTTCTTCCTAAGATAAAGGAAAAGGAGAAAAGGAAGAGGGTGGGAAGTCAGAGATGATGTGTGCATCGTCACAGTTGTGCCCAGCTTCAAGCTGAGATTATCCAATGCCAGCAGCTCCCCCTCCTCAGCACTAGTAACGTCTCCCCTGCAAGGAACAGGCACTTCTCCCTCCTCTCCCTTCTCAGTAGCATTGCAATAAAACAACATAAACATCTGCATTTACCTTTCTGCTTATTTAAAAATGGCAGTAGGGGTGAAGCCAAAGGAATTTTTTTGCCAGAGTCCTTGGAAGACACTTTACTTTGGTTAACAACAGTTTCTTCAATGGGTTTCTTCAGGATTATTCTTTCTTTCAGCTCCTCAGTGCTGACGGCGGAGGTTGGGGGCTCAGCACCTACTTTCGGTGCAACAAAGGAGCATTTCAGGTAGGATGCAGACTCCGCCAGGTTTTCCCTGTTCATCCTGCTCTCTGTCGTTTTACTTGCTTCGTAGTCTGAGGCATCAGCGCGTGAGCCATTCTCTTCCTTGATAATGTCCATGACCATGGGCTTCATCAGAGGGGAGTCCTGCTCCCTCTTTGGGCTCTCTTCGGAGGCTGATGAAGCATCGCAGGACTCGATGATGAGCTCGCTGTCGAGCTCAGCCTCCCGCTCCTCCCGCAGGATGCTGTACTGGATGGAGGGGGAGGCAGGCGATGGAGGGGGCCCTCCAATGTGGCTGAAGGTCATGTAGTTGGAATGCAGCACCTCCTCAGCAGCCAGCGGGTCCTCTGAGACCAGCTCAATCTCCGAGTCCCCTGACTCAGCGCTGCTGGCTTCGTTATCCAGGGCTGAGGAGGCAGCAGGGCGCCCAGGTTTGACCCGCTGCTCTCTCTTCTCAGTGGAAAGGGCTGGTGACCGCTGCACCTCTGGGGTCTCAAAGGAAAAGCTTTTTGCTTCTTTGATGGCACTGATGAGTTCATCTTCTGACAGGCTGCCTTTGCCCTGCGACTCTGAGCCAGACGGTTCTGCCACATGGAAAGAAAAGGGGGAAAAAAAAGAAAAAAATTGTTAAGAATGAGATTTTCTGTCTGCGTAGGCAACAAACACAATAGATTTCATGCCAACAAGGATCCCTCTTGCAGGACTGGTAACACAGGCAGAAAGTTTCCCTGCCTGGGATGACTAACAGTAATAACAGCTTGTCCTTACAGTGCGTTTCCCATGCACGTACGCGTTATAAAAGAAGTATCATTAGCATCATTTAGTGAGGAAGAAGCTGAGGCACAAGGCAATGCTGGTCAGTGTTTGGCCAGTGTCTCAGCAATATGGTTTTCACCAGGAAAATCACCAGTCATGAGAAATGTGGGCTCAGGCCACACATAACAGCACCTGACTGTCACCAACAGATACAAGTCTGTTCTGTGGCCAAACACGCACACAGGGCTGGTGGGTTCCTGACACCGCTGAGCACAACAACCCAGGTGTAGTTACTAGTCATTTTGTCAAACTTTAAACTTTCAGGTGTGCAAAGATCCAGCTCTGAAACTTTTCTCAGACCTTTTCTTTTCGTTTTTGGTTTTGCATGGCAGTGGGTGGTGAATTCTCTGTTTGCATTTATCTCAGGTGGGTCCAAGAATGTAACTCTTTTTTTTCCTGTAAGTCTTAATATAATTGAGAACTATATTAACCAAAATAATGACTGACCAACTTGTTACCCAAAATTTGAAGCAAAAAAACTTCTCTGCTTTTTCTGTCTCACATTGAAAGAAGCTATACTTAGAGGATGAAAATGAACAGTTGAAGACACTGGCTGGTCACCTAGAGTTAGCAAAGAGCCCACATCCCGTACTAGAAGGGAACCCAGCACCAGACTTCCCACCTGTTCTGCCTCCCTGTATATCATAGAATCACAGAATGGTTTGGGTTGGAAGGGACCTTAAAGTTCACCCAGTTCCACCCCCCTGCCATGGGCAGGGACACCTCCCACCAGCCCAGGTTGCCCAAAGCCTCATCCAGCCTGGCCTTGAACCCCTCCAGGGATGGGGCATCCACAGCTTCTCTGGGCAACCTGGGCCACTGCCTCACCACCCTCACTTTACCATGTAGGGTTTTGTAGTGAAATAACAAAGAAAGTAAAATTGCATGTAAAATGTTCACAATAAGAGGTGATAGGGGCAGTTTGAGGTGCATTTGCATCTGCCCTGAGTTACTGGATGGGGAACAGGCTCTGCTGTATCATTCACAGAATCACAGAATCACAGAATGTTAGGGATTGGAAGGGACCTCGAAAGATCATCTAGTCCAATCCCCCTGCCGGAGCAGGACACCTAGATCAGATCACACAGGAACGCATCCAGGCGGGCTTTGAATGTCTCCAGAGAAGGAGACTCCACAACATCTCTGGGCAGCCTGTTCCAGTGCTCTGTCACCCTCACCGTGAAGAAGTTTTTTCTCATATTCAAGTGGAACCTCCTTTGTTCCAGCCTGAACCCATTGCCCCTTGTCCCCTTGGTGAGGGGTCAAGAAAGCCATCAGGAAAAGAGACCCCCAAGTTTCCTCCTGCTGATGCTGGTAAAGAGGCCCATGGCAGGACACCTCCTGTGTCTGCACATCTGGAGATGGCAGTGGAGCAAGGGAAGGTTTCCAGCCCCTCAGTTTCAGGTGTGGGGAGCATCAAGCTGTCCTGCACCCACTCGCAGTGGGTATTTACCTTCAGCCCAGCCCTGCTTTGGGAACAGCCACTGCCATTGGCTCCCCAGGGCTGCTCAGCTGCACTGGCCACATCTGGAAGCTCCTCTACAACAGAGGGTGAGGAAGAGATTGTATCATATGTGACTTGGGAAAAAAAACACTATTTGGGGCTATTGCCTGACTTAACTTCTCATGGCAATAGCATAGCTGATTTTTTCCTCATCATATGCCTTCCTCAAGATGAATCAGGTAAAGGGGGAGGTTTTAGTGATAGCACCTGAGCCACGACGTCCTGCTGGGAGATGGACAAGAAAAACAACTTCCCCACATCCCTCCAAGCAGTTTGGGTTTGTGACTCTGCCAACACACATCATCGGCAGTTTTGAGCACAAATTGTTGTCATGTGTGCAGCTCCTCCAACAAAAAATTCTCTTGGAACACATCCCTCTCGCATGAGAAAGTCCTTCTGCGACACAGAGTATGGCCGCAGACAGGATCAAGGTGTTTGGGACTGTCACTACACACTCCTTTCCAGATGCTGGGAATTTTTTGTTGCATCAGCTGCGCTGAGCAGGAGCCTGTGCATCCTTTTCCTCCAGCTGCAGGAAGCCCGTGTGAGCTGCACCACTCTCTTGCATTACCGCATGTAAGCATTTTCTCCCTGAGCAATGACTTAATCCGGCACGCGTCCAAACAGGCATGTGACTGCCAGCCCTCGTAGCGCAGCAACGCGCCATCCCACGGCTTCACCCCACTCCTGCCAGTTTGTAACTCTCAGCCACGGCGTTTACCTTATGAACAAAAAAGTCCTTTGTGGCCGGCAGCAGAGTGTCATATTTACTGCTGCCATGAGGAAGCATATGAATACCCACCGCCTTTCAGCAGCAGCACAGCGTATGAACAGATCATGTCTCCCTTCCCCAGAAAGATGATGGCCAGTAATTAAAAGAAAACCATTTTCAAAAGTCCTGATCCAAGCAGGAGGGAACTGGGAGCCTTGCCAGGATGCTTGAGGGGTATCTAGGAGCAACGGCTTTGCTGGGTCACTGGGTAGAAATAGCGAGGGCAGGTTTTACATTTCTTCCTTGCTTACGAACGCAGAGTCTGGGCGCAGCATGTTCCCAGCTGTGGGAAAGGGGGGAAATCCAGAGCCGGGCCCTAAAGGAAGATACCTGCTTCTTTCCTTAATGCAATAGATGAGCAGTGTTTCTGGCTTCCCAGCACCCCGACGCAGGGCAGTGGGACTTCCCAGGGCTATTTCAGCAGTGCTGGGGAGCAGCTTTGCCATCGGCAGAAAAAATTCCATGCCAGCAATCACACCAGCTACACCAGTGCCTCCCAGTAAGGCAGCAGCCATGAGGTTCAGCCATGCACTATTCGGCCGTTATGATGGGATATGGTTATCAAGTGTCACAAAGCCAGCCTTGAACAGTCACCAAGGTCTGAATAAATAACAGTTAGTGCCTGAAGTTCTTAATTACCTTGTCATGCAAAAGGTGTAAATCCATAAAAACAGTATGTCTCAGAAGTAGCGTGTGATGTCACCCAGGCAAATAAAAGAAGAAAAATGGGACTCTAAAGTCTATTTATTATCTAGAGTTTCTGGCTGATGCAGGTGGGATAAACTCACAGCTGCGGTGGACTGCTCCAAGCTCTTTCTTTTTTGTGAAAGTGTGCAAATGCATGCTCAGTTTTGGATAAGAACTATGTATTTCTCTAAGGGTAGGTATTAGTGTGGGTGGAAATCCCAGACTGCCATTTTAAAGAAGTTGGTTTTTAAATGGTTCTAGATGCCATAAAAGCAATGGAAATTTCAGCTTGGGGATGTTCATTGTGAAATGTCAAATGTTCATTGCCAAAGGGTTTTGATCCAGGATGGTGAAAGTTAATTTCAAGTCTGAAAATTCTGTTTCCTGTCGCAGAACTTTATTCCTTTTTAAAATACTATACTACTTTCGTATTTTAGCAGTGTATAACAGGGAAAATGAGGAATAGATATTATGTACTACTGCAGTAACCAGACAATAAGAAAATGTATAAATGTGGGACTTTGGTGCCCCCCCAGTAGAAATCAGGAGCCTTTAAAAGAGACTGGCCCTTTGTCTCTCCAGTACCCTTTGCAAATGAGGCAACAGCATTTCCCTCCTCAGCACTTTCTAAAAGCAGTACTTTCACTTGAAAACAGCAATTATTTTTAACAATTCAACCTTATTCTCTGCCAGCAATAGGAAAAAGGTCTTAAAACAGCCATTAAAATAACAATTTAAAAAATACTCAGATATTTGCAGCACCCGGGTCCCACACACCTAATTTCCTCTGGGGAGCATGGCCAGCCAGGGTGACCAAGAGACCCAAAATCACCAGGATCCAGCCTAAACTGTCACTGACAACTGTCAGCTCACAACTTTCCCTCGAGGAGACATCTCCATGGGGACTGGCTCAGTAAGCCTGGATCTGACCCCAGCCCTGTTCCTGAGTCACTCTCGGCAACTGATTTTTGTGCATCCCCAGCCCTGCCTTTCCCTCTTACCTACAGAAAGGGCAGCCCACCCCGAGCATCCCCCTTCAGCTGAGCAATGCAAAGTGGTGTCTGAACAGAGCAGAAACATCTCCAGCCATGGAGGCCCATTAACATCTGCTTGCACCCCCTTAGACCCACCCTACAAACCCACAATAATTCTCTAGCATGTAGGGCTACAATTGCAACCACTCGCTGAATAGCAAAAAAACCTACACCACATGGCAGCATTACCTGTGCCAGAGGATGGTGGTGTGACAGACCCTGGGCTGTCATCTTCTGGCTCTGACACGGTCACTGTTGGTACCACCTCATGGCTTGGCTTCAGGCCAGTGGCCGGCTGAGTCGGGCTTGACTCTTTGCTGGCAACTTCCCCTACACTTTCTATCTCAGTGAGTGTGATCTTGACGGGGGTTGTAACCACGGAGGTACCATGCTGATCAGTAGATCTTGTGTCTTCAAGTGGGCCCTGCTCTTTGGCTGCCTTCGTGCCCTCCAAAGCCGTCCGCTGAGTTTCAGCTTTCTGGTGGGTATTCCTTGGTACTTATCGATAAGGCTTGGACTCTCATCTTCAGAGTCCAGGTCTTGTTTTTCTTGGTATTTTATTTCTTCTGATCTACTTATGTCCATGTATTTATAAGCTTCTACTTTCATGGGATCTGCTAAGGTTTTGTCAACTTCAGTAGACTCTGCAGGAGTCATCTCTATTCCCGAATCTGAGCTAAACAAGCCATGAGACTCAAACCCAGTCACATCTTGCACAGGATGCCCCAGCGTCTTAAAGCCCTCTGTGCTGCCTGAGCAGGGAATGGGGCTATTTTCCTGCTGTTAAATGCCCGTGAAATAGGTGGAGTCCCGCGGAGTGGTGTAATGGACGTCGGAGATCAGAGAGGTGTAGAAGGAGTTGTCACTCCCGTTGGCAGTGGAGCCATAGTCAAAGAGATGTGATGAGGCCGTGACACCTAAAGCAAAGACACAAAAACAATGCAAAGTGAAGAGAAGTGACAGCATGCATCAATCCTTCTGCAAAGCCATACTCATTCCCTGCTGATTTTAGATTCAGTTTGTGCACCAGGCTTGGCTTTGTTTGCAAGCTCTTTGGGACTGTCTCGTACTATACCCTTGGGCAACATAGTGGCACATCTGTCAGAGTAGACTTCCAGCTGCTGTTGTATCTTAAAATAGCTATAACGATCCTGATAGCTGCTAACAGTTCCTGGCCAATGTTTGCCCAGCCTGTGCATAAAAATTTCCAGTGATGGCAATGCCACAACTTCCCTCACAGTCTGCCTCAGGGGCTCATCGCCAAGTATCCTTAAAAACATATAATGTCCAATAAAAAAACCAATCCTGAGCAGAAAGGTTATTTTTTTAATGCAGAGAAATGGAGGAGTTTCACTCAAAGAAAAGTTTTAATTAAGAAAAAAAAAATCTGCTGGACAGAATGTTGGTAGGCAGCTTTAGATTTCATTTTCTCTTTTAACAATAATCACCCTAAATTTATGAAACACCAGGGCAGACACTAAACATCCACATTTAGTGATTTCCACATGTCCAGAAAGCCGAATCCTGTGTGCATCATCTACAAAGCATGCCGGCATGAAAGTGGTTAAACCTCTACCCACGCCCATGCATCATCTTCATACACCGGTTCTAATTCCCTCTGCCGTGCTTCAAGATCCTGGGGATGTCGCTAATTAAATGACAAATGATGGCCACCCTCTATTTGCAGCATTAATGTAAAGCACAGCTGGATGACAGGAACGGCGAGTTTCCCCATGAAGGAGGCACGAGCTGGGGAGACGAATTTTTATGGGGGCTGGGGGAGTGTGTTTGTAGAGAAACAAAGCTGATGGCTGCAGAAGCTGGTGCCTATAGGAGGGCAGCAGCCTGTTAACTGTTGGTGCGCTGATGCACGCTGCACCGCAGAGGCTGGCTGGCTGGCTTTCTCCGACCTCTGCCCATCGCCCTGCAAGGGATGTGCAGCTCCTGACCCGCTCCTTATGTGCTATGCCCTGGGCTACCACGCACAATGCAAATTTAACAGTAATATTAAAGAGACGTTGCTGCAGCTGCAAAGCCAGAAGCTGTAAAGAATCAGCTGGAAAAATCCTGAGCTACTTGGATTTGGTTATTTTCTTTCTCTTTGCACATACATAAGGATATCATCTCTAGATACCACTACAACCATTTTTTTTTTCCCACAGCCCTCCATGCATTAGGCATGTGCAGCTCATTTAGTGAGCCCTGAAGCAATATTTTTTCCTCCCCTTAACCCTGTTCAGTGCATAGCTGCAGGCTTTTTACTGCACGGCTTTGCTGGATTTGACGTGCACAGCCCAAGCCTTGCACAAAGGCAAAATGACCATTTCCCTCATCCATATTTTTGCATCGCTCAGTGCTATGGTGACTTGCAAACAACTTCTCTTTCCTGGGCCACCTCTAGGGTGGGAACAGCATGTTCTTCATTTTACAAGGGGAAACCTGGTAGCACAGGGAAAAAGCAACCCAAAAGTGCCACACCTTGCTTTCCAGCCTACCTACACTATGTGTTCCTGCATGTCCATCCTCACTGATTTTGGGTGCTGCTGGTCCCCGGCCAGCCCTCACTGCTAATCTTTTACTGCACACACAATGCTGACAGCAGCTCCATCCCCACACCCTGAGAGCCCATGGCCGGGGATTCACTGCAGCTGCCTTTGCCATACAAGAGCACAGAGAAAGGGGTGCTGTAGCTGGCATGTGAAAATTATTATTCCCAGTCATTCCCAGCCTTCAATTTGCTCTTCTCACTGCTATGGAGCACTGCATTGAACTTCTCATAGAAGTATTCATGATCAAGCCAAAATCTTGTTTCAGAGTGGTGAGGGTCACTGCAGAGACTCTTCCTACACATGTAAATTTGGGAGGATTTTTCCCTCCATCTATATAACTTTACATTTACCTACTCTAAATTTCACGTTCTGTTTTCCTGCCAGCTCACTTGGGACTGCAAGATCCTTTTGTAACTCACTACAGGCAGCTCTTGTCTTCACTGCGAATGGATCCTCAGTGGAAAAGCACAGAGAAACCAAAGCAGAATGAAAGGGCTAAGCTGGGCTGCCCAGCACCCACATCAGGTCCTACCTGAGGTCATTCAGTGCCAAGCAAGGGCGGCTCATACCCAAAAAACATTTCTAAATTATCAGTAAGCAAAAAGGGACAGGGTTTTTTTCTTGCAAATACTTTTCTTGCTGAACTTGCCTTTTTGAAAATTACCCATAAACAGGCTTGGATTTTCACAGATATGTTGGTTAGCTGGAATTATCGGATGCATTGTTTATGCCAACATATTTCAGGCTGTGAATTGCTGACTACAGACTATTCATGCCTGTTGCTGCCAGTATCTGCTGTGTGTAATTTACTATTTGTGCTGGGTGAGTGGCTGTCTAAATCACGGGGTTTCAGGGTTGCTCTTTGGTTAGGTGATTCCTCGGTGCCTACTGAGCCTGGTCCAAAGTTCATCAAATTCACTGGAAAATTCCCATTGATTCCGAGTGGCTGTGGACCCGATTAAGATGCCTGTGCAGTACTTTCCTGCTCTGGGTCCTCATGAAAAATGCACCAGCACAAAACCATCAGTGAGCAAAACCCCATTTCTACAAATATCCCACAATTGCTAGTAAAGAGGGAGCATAAACATGGTCAAAGGAGATTGAAGTTGCCTTCAAACCAATATTCATGGATGTTGTTTGCAGCTTTCATTTCTGCTTTGCCCACAGCATAGGTAAGCCAGATGCATTTGCAGCACTTAGTGATGCTGATCAATAGAGCAATGAAAGGGTTTCTGATGCATTTGTGTCCAGTGCTTCATAGCAGGAGTTACGACAAGCCAGGAGAGCCACTGTGATAAAGAGAGCCTGGGAAAATATCACCCTATTCTTTATGTTATTTTCAGAAAGGAAAAAATAACCCTGAAGTAGTCACTGAAAGAAACATCACATTTTCAAGCAGTACAAACCCAGTGCTGTAGCAGATGTTAACACAAGAGCTGATTTAATATAGACTCACTGTTGATCATAAACCTTTTTTTCTTTTTGTGCAGTGGTTTTGCAAATAATGGTGAAACCAGAAAATGTGTTTCTTACCAGGATTCAGGGCAAAGACAAAGAGTTAAAGGGTGTGTGAGCATGTCCATGCGCAAGTGTGAGTAGAGAGATCAGCAGGAAATAGAGGGATCCCAACTCTCCAGGCATCCACAGAGTCAAAAGCACTGAAGACAGCTGAAATTGCCTAATTATTAGGATTTAATGCAACTCTATTTCCCCAGGAAATTATTTAAAGTCATTGGTAAAACTGCCTCTTATTTGGGAAGTGTGAATCTATCAGCTAGTAGGCTGGCTATTAAAGACACGGAAACCTGTGATAGCTGAGCAGGTTTTTGCCGAAGAATAGTGTATTCAGAGCCTGGTGATCAAGCAATGCCCTCTCTGACTTTAAGTTTATTTAGTTCAATATCCGTGGGAAGCAGAAGCCTTGAATAGCACTGGTAATGGATGGCAGTATCAGAATTTACCTTTGTTACAAAGGGTTGGGTGTTCTAATCTGAATTTCCCTCAAATGTGCCCAAAAACTTTGCCTGCCAATTCAGGTAAAGCAAAGCTATTCAGTGCCTGAGAGCAGCAGTCGTGTTTTCTTGTAATACAAGCCCTCGGGAAATAATTTCACTTCCTGCAACCAGCTAAGAAGTAATGGGTCTAATTCAATCATTTCGAGCACAGCTGAGATGCTCAGCAAGTTACATGTGTTTTCATCAACTGTAGAGAAAAACAAAATTTGAAAATGACTGGTTTGTTTCCTCAGAATAAGAGAGTGAGTGCTCCCAAAATCCTCTCCTACAGCACTGGATTTAGAGCTATTTATCAATTGACACAGGAAATAATTTATAAATCATTGGTTCCATGCAGAGGAACTCTTAATTTAAGAAAGGCAGCTGAAGCCCAATTTGGATTCATGCAAGCTGAACTGCTGCAGCACACTGGGAAGAGGAAACAAAAAGTCATCTGAGGAAAACAGATAAAGAAAACCAGCTAATTTAAATAAAACTGATTTTTTTTCCCCAACTACAGTATGCTCAGTCTTCTTAAAATTGACCACTTCAGAATATTGTGTTCAGTTTTCAATAAAATAACCAGCTTCCACATTAACCTGCCTTTCTTTATCTTCACATACAACTCTGGTGTCCTTCAGTGGCACAGACAGACTGACACAGAAGGACATGAAACTTCAGTTCTGCAGAACAGCTGGCAACCTCGCAACGCGAAGTTCAGTATTTATTGTGTGTCAGTGATTTCATCAGAATTATTAATTTTTCAGCAGAGAGGGAACTAATCTTTAATTAGATGATACTATTTTTACAGCCTGATGCTGCACTCAGAAGAGGAAAGATCTTTGGTTGCAACTGGAGGAATCAAGATTTCAGCGACCTTTTCAGACAAAAGCAGAACAGTGTGAGCAAGCCGCTTCCAGCAGATTCCTGTAAGTCTTTTAAATATTTGTCTCTGACTTTTGCTCTGGATACTGAGCCTCAGGAGTTGTTACCAGCCACCCCAGCACTGCAGGGCTGCTCGCTCCCAGGAGCAGGGGGTCCCCAGCTCTCTCCCCTGTCCGTGCACATCACAGCTTCCTGGTGACAGGGTCCACCTTGTCCTGTTTGGACAGTCCCTGACCTTCAGTAATTTAGAGATAATATTGAGCAAAGTCCCATAAACAAGGGGAGCACTCTTATTTGGCCCCAAGCTAGAGGGTTTCTCAGGCCACATGGCACTCCCAGGTCCTAGAACCCTTTAGGTGTCATCCAGAGATTTCAGATAACAAGAAACCAAAACCAAGCAACAAGCAATTTCCAGCACAGTGGCTTTGCTCTCATCCAGGACCCCTGAAGGTACCACAGAGCTCAGGGATATTCAGTGACTTCCCTTCA